ATTGATGGATGGTGGTGGGAGTTGGTCATGTCATCATCCTAATAACACTGAGTACAAAAATAGTAATGGAAAGGAGTTTGTTGGGAAAAATTAAATCTACCATTGTCTGTAAGCTATCACAACTACTATGAATCTATTCTAGCAGACAAATCCCATCATTCAAAGATGCAGAAGACTTAATGCATCCCAATTCCCTGTCGATGGAACAGTGTAGCTCAGGGTTGACATGAGGGGCCCTTAGCGCTCTCTGCATTTGGTTGTTTTCTTGCAGACTTTTCATTACCAAGCCAGGTAACATCATCAGTTACATGGCTTAAATGCTTAATTAAACTGAATTGAGATAAGCTGCCTGCTGTTATCCCCCATTTTAAAATTCTGCTGTGTATTTTGCACAGCCTGAAATAATTGTCATTTATGCTACTTTCTTACCTCTAGACGGGAGATATGAAAGGCTGCCTCTTGAGGGGTTTGAAAACTCTCAAACATATAGGTAGCATTCAGCGGAGTGCAAAATATTTTAGGTCAACCTGCTCTCTCTCTTTTTTTTTTTTTTTATTTGAGAGAACTTTCTACATCCTCACATTTATTTATTATTATTTTTTCACCACAATCATTCCACTCTGTGCAACATAAAACCGTAAAACATTCACAATAGGTACAATATTATTGCATTGTGAATACAATAATAAAATCAATAGAAGTTCAAAAAATTCAACCCAAGAATATAAAATGAACAACCTTATTATCTAAATATTATCAATATCTAAACTAGTTAGATATTCTTTTAACTAGTTTAGAAAGTAGGTTATTCCTATTTTATTTTGTTACCACTTGCTCAACAGGTGTAGGTCAATACTAATTTCCAGGGGAGGGCTATTCCACATGACACAAGAACATCTGCTGACCTCTGATTTCAGAGTAAAAAGTTATTGTTTTCATTATATATGTATCATATAGGTCAATTCTAGTTGAAGTACTGAGTCCTATTTTATAGATCATATTAGCTGATAACCTGGTATTGCCCGGGTATTTATTTATCCCAATCCTGTATTAGACAGGAAGAGCAACTTCACCCTGAGCCCTGATTTTGATGAGAATTAAATTAGTTAAAAATGTTTTCCCTGTGCCCCCAGAATTGTCAAGTAAAATGATACCACCTTGTTGTTTTGCCAGCTGATCCATGATCATTTGGTATGCTTTTTTCTGATCTTGATTTAGAAGTGGCTTCTTGTCCACGATATTTGCACTAAACTGTTCGATGTTGTAGTTCTTTTCTCGTATGTAATCTGTGTGAAGTACGTCGTGTCGGTCTCGTAGTGGTGCAGGCAGGCCAAGTTGCAGTAATGTTTTATTGATCATGGCCATACATTTGTCCTCAAGAATAATCAGAGCCTTGTTGAAAATGTCCGGACCAAACAATTTCTAATGTTGGATTTTCTCCCTTACCAGAGGGAGCCCCCTTATGGAGTACTGTGAAGCCGTTACCATGGCAATTCCACTGTGCTGCACAGTAGAAGCCATTTTAAGGCAGTACAGTAGAAGCCATTTTAAGGCACAGCAGGCCTTAAACAGGTATCTTAACAGAACACACACCCCGAAGGGTGTTAGGGGTGTCTTACCCCCCCCCTCCCCAGTATTTTTTTCCAGAGAGTAAGTCATCTGTGTACCAAGTTTGATTGAAATTGCTCGAGGGGTTCCACAGTTATGCTGGAACATACACACACACACACAGAGCCATTATAGAAAACCAATATTTTAATTTCTACCCCAAAACCTATTGGTAATTAATACAGGGCCTCATAGGTGAAATATGTTAATGGAATTTTTCATTGGCCATTGCAATTTGCATGAACTTTAGTTTCCTGTTGATTTTCAAAGTTATGTCCTTGATGCTCTCTGAACTTGGTTGTTTTCTGGCAGGTATTTCATTACCTAAATAGATAACATCAGCAGTGCTAGAAGGAAGTAAAGTTTGTTCTCTGTTTATGTACAAGTGGCATTGCCCTGTCAGTGTTAGTGGGAGTCCTACTTTTCTTCTTGGTAGTTACTTGATTAGGCTGTTTACTATTTGTTTGCATTGGTAGTTCCTTGACTGGAGTATTGTTTAATGCTTGATTGTTGGTCTGGTATTAATCCTGGTGTTAATCTGTTTATCTGGAGGTTGATTACAAGAGATATTTTGGTCTTTTTGTTTCCTTTTTAGTTAGTAATTGTCTCTTTTGAGTGGTATGTATTTTTGTTTATTTTATTTTGTCAAGCATGTATAAGATAACAGATATAAGTATAAACATGATTATGAATACAGGAAATGGATGTGAATAAATGGGGACATTAGGACAGGGACGGTAGGCACCTTGGTGCGCTTATGCACGCCCCTTACAGACCTCTTAGGAATCGGGTGAGGTCAACAGTAGACAGTCTCAGGGTAAAGTTATGGGGGTTTGGGGATGAAACCACAGAGTCAGATAGTGCATTCTGGGCATTGACCACTCTGTTGCTGAAGTCGCATTTTCTGCAACCGAGTTTGGAGATTTTGGAGATGTAGATGTTGTTTATCTCTATGTGCCTGTTGATGGCTGATACGTGTAAGATCCATGCTTCCAGGAATTCTTTAGTGTTGAGAATATTGTTGGATTTAGCTTGGTCTAGATCCGTGATGGCGAACCTATGACACGGGTGCCACAGGTGGCACATGGAGCCATATCGGTGGGCATGCGAGCGTTGCCCTATCTCAGTCCAGCATGCATGTGTGCACTGGCCAGCTGATTTTCAGGCCTTCCGGGCCTACCGGAAGTCGGGAAACGGGCAGTTTCTGGGCCTCCGGAGGGCCTCCGGGGGTTGGGGAAGGCTGTTTTTGCCCTCCCCAGAATCCTAGAAAGCCTCTGGAGCCTGGGGAGGGCAAAAAAATGGGCCTACAGGGCCATCACATGCCAAAAGCGGGGGGAGAGCGGGGGGGTCACGCATGCATGCTTGGGGGGATGGGGCGCATTGAATAATGGGTGTGGGCACCCGCGCATGCAATCCCCCCCACTCTCCCCGCTTTTGGCACGCGACGGCAAAAAGGTTAGCCATCACTGGTCTAGATGCTCAGTTTCCCAGTTACCCCTAATTGGGTAGTGAAGTGTCTGCAAGTTACCCCTAGTTACCCCTAGTTGGATAGTGAAACATCTGCAAGAAAGCAAGCAGGCACAGAGAACACCAAGGACACCAAGGACAATGCAACCCTGGACTACAAATGCAGAGCACATTGTAGTTGTCCAGTTATCCCCTTACTAGTTATCCCCTGGCTTCAGGCAGATCTATCATAGTGCACCAGCAAAGGCCTTCCTGACTATGGTTTTCACTTGCCCATCTAATGGTAGTAGTGAGTCCTAGAAGACCTGAAATTTACACACCTGTTCCCTCAAAGGCAGTACCAGCCATTCAGAAGGCAACATCAAAGCTGACAGGGAACCTTAGCGAACAAACAGCAGCTGCTCTGCCTTGCTTGGATTCAACTTCAGTTTGTCTTCTCCTATTGCGACCTTGACAGTCTCAAATACTAGGGCAGGATTTCAATCATATCCCAGTAGGTTTCATTGGGGTATGGACAATACTGCACTCTAAAACAGCGGCCCTCAACCTTTTGGGCACCAGGGATCGGCTCTGTGGAGAGAGGTTTTTCTGTGGACCAAAGGGGGCGTGGTTTCCTGTGCTGCCTGCGGATGGGGCTTTGCTTGTTGGCACTGCCCAGTTTCTGGAATGTTGCGGCCCGGTGCCAGTCCACGGACTGGGTGTTGGGGAACCCCTGCTCTAAACCTACAGTCCAGGGGTGAAATACTCCTGTTTCAGACAGGATCACCCGATCCAGTAGTGATGGCGGCAGGTGGTTCGGAGAACCGGTAGCAAAAATCCCTGCACCCCTCCCCCATGCCCAGCTGAGCCGCGCGATCATCAGAGGCTGTTTATTTTACTTTTAAAAGCATTTTTTCTACAACCTCTTCGGCTGAAGCAGTTTTAGAAAAAATGCCTTTAAAAGCCTCTGACGATCCCAGCTGAATTGCCTGATCATCAGAGGCTTTTAAAAGCATTTTTTCTGCAACCTCTTTTTAAATGCTTTTAAAAGTTAAAAAAAAAAAAAAAAAGTTGGCCACACCCACCCAGTCACATTACCCCACCACCACCAAGCCACGCCCACAGAACCGGTAGTAACAAATTTTAGATTTCACCCTGATATAGTCTCTCCAGTAGCTTCATGTAGACATTAAAAAGGAAGGAGAAAAGAAGTGATTCCTGTTGGGACATCTCATGTAAGATACCACCAGGACGAACCCTCTTGCCTCCAGCTAAAACTGGAACTGTCTGTTAAGGAAGAATTGGAACCACTGAAGCCCAGCACCCGGATTTCCCAAGTTTAAAAGAGGCATAGGAGGATACCATGTTCAATGGGACTAAAAAATCCTGAGAAATCTAATAGAACCCACAAGCAGTACACTCTACACCAGTGCTGGTATTCGGTCGGTTCTATCTGTTTTGGGCAAACCAGCTGCGGCAGGCTCCACCCACCCACCCGGATGTCATCACGTCTTATTTTTGACGCTATGCGCATGCGCGGAAGAATGCATGTGCTCACATTTGCGAACCAGTAGCGAAACTAAGTGAATACTCTACACATCTAGGTCCCAACGTTCGTAATCAGCCAAATACCATGATCTCTGTTCCCTTGAAAAAAGTTCAAATAATCCACATATATGGGGTACTCTGTAGTAATTGCCTACAAGAAGCAAAGATCGGAGACAGGACAATTGTTGTCTAATACTACTGAATCCAGGGAGGTCCTTTTCAGGAAGATGTCAACTACAGCTGAAGTTGTGTAAGAGTGTTGTATAATAATATATTGTTATCTTTTTTCAACAAATGTCGATTTTGGATAGCTAAAATTATTATGAGTGTGGGAAGGGAACCCTACATGTTTGGAAACATTGCAAATATTACATTGATGTGTATCTGTTTTATTTCAGGGTCCATACAGGGAACTGATGTCAATACCCCTGCTGTCCATTTAAACTTGTCAACAATAAGTAATTCTTCAACAACAGGTAAACTTCCTTCTCCTTTCACCATTTTGTCCTGCAAACCCCCTTCAAAACACATTTAAATTCTTCTTTTTTTCCACTTTTTCTTTTTCCAAATCAAATGAGTTATGAATAATCACACCTGGAAAAGAGATGTTAGACTAGAGCCGTGATGGCGAACCTATGGCACACGTGCCACAGGTGGCACACGTAACCATATCGGTGGGCATGCGAGCTCAGCTCTGGCACGTATGTGCATGCTGGCCGGCTGATTTTCGGGCCCACCGGAAGTCTGCAAACAGGCCATTTTTAGCCTCCGGAGGTGGGGGGTGGGAAAAGCTGTTTTTGCCCTCCCCAAGCTCCTAGAAAGGCTGTGAAAGCTGGAGAGAGAGAGAAACGGGCCTACCGGGCCCACCGGGCCATCGCATGGGGGGGGGGAGCGGAGGGTCATGCGTGGGAGTGGGGCGCATAGAATTATGGGTGTGGGCATGTGCTGGCCCACCCCCCCCCCCCCCCCCCCCCCCCGCTCCTGGCACGCGATGGCAAAAAGGTTAGCCATCACTGGACTAAAGCCACCATTCAGGGCGATTTCATTTTTTTCTTCTTTAGGACAGATCATGTAACAGAATGTCATGTTCTCTCTGTCTTTTTTTTTTTTTTTTTTTTCAAATTGAAAGATTGAGATGCAAACTCTATGGCTTTTATCTTGGGCAAACCCCTCTCAACCAAGGGGATTTATTGCACTGGCTTTCAAGAGCTAAGAGAAAGGGAAGTCTGTCGCTGATTACTGTCCTTTCAGAGTGGAGAATAATTCCTAGAAAAGAGTAATGGGAGTTGAGTACCAATTATTAGAATCGCATTTCTCGATCTCAGAAACTTTTAAGATGTGTAGACCAGGTGTGGGTTCTACTTACCTTTACTACCGGTTCGCAGCGGGAGCGCGTGCTTCTGCGCAGATCACCCATGATGATGTGATGGGTGGGTGGAGCCTCCCGCCAGTTTTACTGCCAGTTCTATAGAACCGGACAAACCCGGTAGCAACCCACTACTGGTGTAGACTCTCAGTGGGGGAAGCCAGTGGTGGGATTCAGCCAATTCGCACCACTTCGGGAGAACCGGTTGTTAACTTTCTGAACAGTTTAGCAAACTGGTTGTTGGAAGAAATCGTTAGGGCAGAGAACCGGTTGTTAAATTACTTGAATCCCACCACTGGGGGAAGCTGAGAGTTGAAGTCCACACATCTTAAAGTCATCGAGGTTGAGAAACTGTTCTAGGTAGTGCTACAGCTTTAGGGAAGAAGTTACAAAATCCTAATGCTGCCAGGAACCCTGTAATCATGCTTTGAATATTGTATATTTGCTAAGATTGGTACATGAGGCATAGAACTGGAGGTACAGGTTGCTGTTGTTACCTGCCTTGGGTGGAGGTTTGCTCACAAGCTATCACAGAAAGAGAAAGAGACAAAAACTTAAACCCGTGAGTTAATAGAGGCACTTTCGGATCTTTTTGTTCTTTTCTGGCTTCATTTCCTGGAGCAAAATGACGGCATTTGAGAGAAATAAAGAGCGTTCTTGTTTTCTGTAGGCGTAATTAGACTCATATGTCAACTAACAAGCATGTCCTTCCAAACAAGTGTTTATAAAAGCCATAACGGCGCACAAACTCTCTTAAGGGCAGTGTAGCAAGCATAGACATCTTCCCTGTACAGGCAGTCCTCGACCTACAACCACTCATCTAGTGACCATTCAAAGCTACGACGACAGTGAAGAAAGCGACTTATGACCGTTTATCACAGTCACGACCGTTGCAGCATCCCCATGGTCATGTGATCAAAATTCAGCAGCTTGGCAACCGGTTCGTATTTATGACAGTTGCAGTGTCCCGGGATCATGTGATCCCCTTTTGCGGCCTTCTGACAAGCAAAGTCGATGGGGGAGCCAGATTCACTTAACATCCATGTTACTAACTTAACAACTGCAGTGATGCACTTAACAACTGTGGGAAGAAATGTTGTAAAATGGACAAAACCTCACTTAACAACTGTCTTGTTTAGCAAATAAATTTTGGGCTCAATTTTGGTCATAAATCAAGGACTACCTCTACTATACTTTCCTCTCTCCAAATCCTGAATTCCCCTACTATGCTCCCTCATTTCGATCCTCCACCCTTCGATGTCTCCTTTGCTGGCTCCAGCTTGGAGATCCTCTAGATCAGTGGTTCTCAGCCTGAGGTCCGTGGTCCCCTGGGGAGCCATGATGTTGTCACACGGGGTCCGCAAAGGCTTTAAAAAATGTTAAATATTGAGTTATGTCTTGGGGTCCATGGCCATGGTCTGTGGAACCAAAAGGTATTTAAAGGGGGGTCTGTGGTGAAGAAAAGGTTGAGAACCAGTGCTCTAGATCAGGGGTGTCAAACCAGTGGTGGGCTGCAACCGGTTTAATAACCGATTCTGTGAGTGCGTGCTTTGAGTGCGCACATGGGCTTCACATGCACACTCACCTAACGCGCTTGCAGGCAGCATTCAAAATAAAGCAGTTTGAAGCTCAGCTGCTTATCTTCCTTATAAGGCAGCCCTGATAAGTAGAACAGTGGAGGTGCAGAAATCAGTTGTGCTGTGAGAATCAGCTGAGCCAGAAAGAAGGAAATATAGGACAGGATAGAGCAAAGGCAGGTGGGCGGGGCCAACTGATCATCAGAACTACCGGTTCGCCCAAACCGGCAACAGCCCACCACTGTGTCAAACTCACGTCGTCACGGCGGTGTCACGTGACATATCGGGACTTTTTTCCCCTTCGCTAAACTGGGTGTGGCCAGCATGTGACGCATCCGACCCACTGAGTTTTTTTTTTTTTTTTTTTAATTTGATTTATATGCCGCCCTTCTCCGGAGACTCAGGGCGGCTTACAATGCGTTAAGCAATAGCCTTCATACTTTTGTATATTTATACAAAGTCAGCTTATTGCCCTCACAAACTGGGTCCTCATTTCACCTACCTTGATAGCCCTGCTCTAGATTATGGACTTCCATAGTTCTCTTTATGGCATAGATACTGCTGAGAATCCGGGGAGTTTGAGAACAGTGACTCAATCATTACGCAAGCCGTTTCTCTCCCAGCCTATTACTAATTAAATCTGCAAAGCTATTTATTGAATCCCAACTTCAGGTACATTGAAGTAGTGAATATTGTGTAAGCCCAAAGCCACGACTGATTTGATTACTGATGATGAAGAAGATTGAGAAAACTAGGGTACAAGTGTACTGAGAGGTTGGTCACGGTTATTGAGTAGAGCAGTGATGGTTAACCTTTTTGGTGCTGAGTGCCCAAAGCGCATGCGCACATGCACGAATGCACATGCATGTGCCAGAACCCCCCCCCAAATGCAATACAAGTGCTCCCCTGTGCATGCGCCCCAGCCCCATGCGCGGGCATGCACCCCCTGCCTTGGGCCCCCCATGCCCTCGAAAGCCGCCTGCACCAACCTGGAAGCCAAAATGGGGCACAGGGGCCATGTGAGGCCCCCCGCCCCATTTTGGGCCCGGAAAGCCTCCTGTCCCAACCTGCACTCCCCCCATGCATGTGCCCCCCCCGTGCATGCACACACGTCCCCATGCACCCCACCAAAGACCAGCTGGCCTTCGGGAGGCACACACGCATGCATTGTGTAGCTGGGCTTGGCTGATAGCTGGCGTGCCCGCAGAGAGGGCTCTGCGTGCCACAGATTTGCCATCACAGGAGTAGTCTAGAGCAGCGGTCACCAACCGGTGGTCCACTGACCACTGGTGGTCCACGAGAAAATTTTGGTGGTCCGCAGAAAAATTATTTGCATTTTTATATTGCACTAAATACTATTTATCTTTTTTTTAAAAATTCATATTGGTGGTCCACGGGATTTAAAATTATGAATTTAGTAGTCCCTGAAGTCTGAAAGGTTGACGACCCCTGGTCTAGGGTATTTCTTGGAAAAAATAGCATGGCACAAAAGAAAAGATTAATTAAAGTGAAACTAGAATGACTGTAGGAAAAGCAAGTCTTATGTCAATCTCTCTATTAGAAAATTAGTGGATGTAAAACAGTGGAAGATGCTTCAAACAGAATGAAAAGACTTACGTTTCAGAGGATCACAGAAGAACTTAATTTCTGTGCTTTTGAGGGTGCTGAGCATTGGAGTTTAGACATTTCTGGAGGTCCTCCTGTTCTCTACCCTGAATTCCAATTTTGTATACATCACAGTGAAGATGAAAGAAATAGGACTTTATTAATAGCTTCCTACAGTGGTGAAATCTAAAATTTGTTACTACAGGTTCTGTGGGCGTGGCTTGGTGGGGGTAATGTGACTGGATGGGCGTGGCCAATTTTTTTTTTTTTTTTACTTTTAAAACCATTTTTTCTACAACCTCTTCAGCGAAGAGGTTGTAAAAAAGTGCTTTCAAAAGCCTCTGACGATCCCAGCTGTGTTGCCTGATCGGCAGAGGCTTTTTTAAAAAGCTTCTGCCGATCAGGCAACTCAACTGGGATCGTCAGAGGCATTTAAAAGAAAAAAACCCTTTTTTTCTTTTAAATGCCTCTGACAATCCCAGCTGAGTTGCCTGATCAGCAGATGTTTTTTAAAAAGCCTCTGCCGATCAGGCAACTCAGCTTGGATCGTCAGAGGCATTTAAAAGAAAAAAAGGGTTTTTTTCTTTTAAAAGCCTTTGACGATCCTCTGATGATCGCGCGGCCCAGCTGAGCCGCGCGATCATCAGAGGCTTTTTTTTTTTTACTTTTAAAAGCATTTTTTGGCCGAAGAGGTTGTAGAAAGAATGCTTTTAAAAGTTTAAAAAAAGCCTCTGATGATTGTGCGGCTCAGCTGGGCATGGGGGGGGGGCAGGGATTTTTGCTACCAGTTCACCGAACCACCCGCCTCCATTGCTACCGGATCAGGCGATCCAGTCCAAACCGGGAGCATTTCACCCCTAGCTTCCTACCTTTTGCCTACACAAATTCAAAATGTGTGAGAGAGAGAATGTTATGTGTGCTTGGATTA